GCAGAAAGTCAACAATGGTTCAACAACTATGTTTTGGAAAGATGTATGGAATGGAAATGTAACATTAAAAAACAGATTCCCTCATTTATACATAACTAAATCGGATAAAAATTGCATGAGAACGGGAGTTGAATCACAACAATTGGTGGATCTTTTAGCACTCTTTCAAGAACATAATAGCATGTCAAATCAAAATGATTCATGGGTCTCACTTGGAAATTCACAGGGTATCTTCTATGTGCAATCTTTAAGGCTGGACGGTATGGGTGAGGGAAAGAGCGAGGGAAGCTTTCCCTCTCAACTAAACATCATCCCTTGACTGAGGGAAAGGTGGCGATGGAAAGAGGTGAGGGATTTCATTCCCTCACTCTCTCTCCTATTCCTATTGACCAACTTTTTTTTATTATCTTTTTTAAATTTTATTAAATTATATACCTACTAAAAATTATAAAAAATATATATATCAAAATTCATTGTTTTTAATTCCTTACAAAATGAGTATAATATATATATATAGGAAATATATTTAAAAAAAAATAAAAAAATAGTGAGTGAAGTTTCCAACCCATTCATTGGGTTTAGGTGAAGAAAGGAAAATGAGGGGAAATGGTGGTGTGGCCCACAAAAAGTGAGGGAAACTCCTCACACATACCCTCCGATCTAAGAGAACTCATCGATAAAGCCTCTTACAATCACATTCTTACTGTTTTTTATTGAATAATTGGCTACTGATAAACGTTAATTGTTTCGTTTGGAGACTCTTACAAAAAAAATTTCATTTAGCTTTTAATCTTGCAAATAGAAGAGTTTCTGCTTTTGATATTTTAAACTTCAAAACTTCATAAGTAATTTAGGGGGGGGGGATGATGAACACATCATATGAATAATAGTATAACTAGGTGTGAGACCCGTATTTATACGGATTTGATAAAACGAAAAATTAAATACGAAAGTTTAAACAAAAATTATTTAAATTTGAAATTTTAGATTTGAAATTTAAAATTTAAAATTTGAATTTAAGAAGAAACATATTAAATACTATATGACTACTAATATTGTAATTTATTTGTATTTTCAATTAAGACAATTATTAAGTGAGGTCTAAATATGATGTGTTAATTAAGAAAAGATGAAAAAAAAATGAGAAAATGACAAATGAAAAAAACGTTTAATAAAAAATACCAAAAAATGACATGTATTCAAGTTAATGAGAAAATGACATGTGACAAAATTATTTTCATTTATTAGGGAGGATATATATATTAATAATAATAATAATGTTGTTTCACCACCGTTCCTTGTCATTGTTTCTGGATATTTAATACCTCATCAACGAACACCGTAAATAATATGTATTCTCGGTTTGTACTAAAACAAATGAAATGTCAAAAGACAAACGATAAGTTATAAGGCGTGGATGGATCTAGGATAATTAAAGACTACTATGTTTGTTATTGTATGACAAAAGTGTTCACTAACTTATCTAAAATTTTATAAAAACCAACATGATACCCGATGGCTTAACTCGGTAGGTAAGTTTAGTAAGCACCTCCTCACTAGTGACCCAAAATTAATCAGGGGTGGCTAAGAGAAGGCCATGTGATGCGATTTTGAAAAGGGTTGTTTAGTAACATCGGCAAACACTTTGCCCCTCTCCGTATCATCACATAATGGAGAGCCACATGGACAAACATGATAGGCGTCAATCTATTAACTTTATGCTCTTGCCGGGTAAGTATGTTGTATGTAAAGGACAAATTTCTGTCATTTTTTAATTTAGAAAATCTTGTACAAAGAAATAAAAATAGAATGCTAATAATAAAGGAATTAATGAAGTTGGTGTGAGAATGGGATTAAGTTAGCAGTCAACTGTTGTGTGTTTTTCGAGTCCAATTTGGGAGGGAGAGATGGATTACAAATACAATGAGAGTATGAGACCATTTCTTTTATGACTTGTTCCTCCATCTGGACTCTTGCTCTTGCTCAAAAGAAAAAGTCGCCCCTCTCCTTTTATTATTTTTATTTTTATTTTTATTATTATTACTCGTCAATCATTAATAGCAATACGTTTTTTTATAACTTTATGTATCTAAATGTAATTTTTATCACATACATACATATGTACAAAAAAACCAATTCATTTCGACTTAATTAACTCTATTACCACAGCCTGAATAACCAAGCCATTGAGAAAACAAAAGAACAAAAGATAAACTTTTCATTTTCATACAAGAGATTCCGAGTTTAAATCTATAGCAAAGGTTCTAATTCAGAAGTGATCATGTAGATACGTCCTCCCCAGATCCTTTAAAACCATGAATACTGTAGTGTAGTGGAGTAGTTCAAGAACGTAGTTTTAACTATCATCTAAATGGATTTAATACCACACTTTAATCATGTTCTTAATATATATTTTTTTCTTTAAATCAACACCTTTAATAAAAAAAAACTATATTCCGTATCTAGCAAGCATATATTTTCAACATCGAACATCATTTTCACGAAAACTAAGGATATCAAATACAATACGTTTCTAATTAAATTTTTAACACATATATACCTCCAAAAGAGATAACAACGTTGACCTTGTGGCAATAAATGAGTAACATACTTAGTTTTTTCGACACCCATCAATTCTCCGAAACACATGAGTAGAATTATTCCAACCTTCATCTTCTTCCCAGAACCTTCACCAGATCACAACTTCAAACCCTAAACCCTTTCCTTACTTCTTCGTCTTTAGGTTTATTATTCGTCATATATTATATATACATACACATCGATCGTCTCGTCTATGAATCAACCTACGCTCTGAAATATCCTGAATCAATTTATTTGGTCTAGTCAATGAAGCCCAACAACAACAACAGCAATAGTCGCCCTCGACGTCGTCTTGACTTAACTTTACCTTTACCATTACCCCAGCCCCAGCCCCAGATCGCCGTTCCTCTTCCTCTCCCACCCTCCTCCACCCTCCAACACCAACACATCAACTTCTCCGACCTCCATCGGATCAACAGAATCGGAAGCGGTAGTGGCGGTACTGTTTACAAAGTCCTCCATCTCCCCACCGACACCCTCTTCGCCCTCAAGGTAATCTATGGAACTCACGACGACGATGCTCGCCACCAGATCCGTCGAGAAATCGAGATCCTACGTGGAGTCGACAACCTTAACGTCGTCAAGTGTCACGACATGTTTGATCGTGCCGGTGAGATTCAGGTGCTCCTTGAGTACATGGACGGTGGTTGCCTTCAAGGCACCCACTTGTCCGATGAGTCCTTGTTGGCCGATCTCACCCGTCAGATTATCTCCGGTCTTTACTACCTCCACCGGCGAAAGATCGTCCACCGTGATATAAAACCTTCCAATCTGTTGATTAATTCCAAGAAACAAGTGAAGATTGCGGATTTTGGGGTTTCGAGAATCTTGGAACAAACGATGGATCCCTGTAATTCTGCGGTGGGTACGATTGCTTACATGAGCCCGGAAAGAATAAACACCGACCTGAACGAAGGAAAATACGACGGGTGCGCCGGAGATATATGGAGCGTGGGGGTGAGCATTTTGGAATTCTATCTGGGGCGTTTTCCGTTTACCGTCGGAAGACAGGGTGATTGGGCGAGCCTTATGTGTGCAATTTGCATGTCACAGCCACCAAAAGCGCCGGCGACTGCTTCTCGTGAGTTCAGAGATTTCGTTGCATGCTGTTTGCAGAAGGATCCGGCGAGGAGATGGACGGCGGCGCAGTTGTTGAGGCACCCGTTCGTTACAGGAGCAGCTCTAAACCATAAACATAGCAGTTACAGTCAGGTGCATCCAACATATGAGCTACTTCCTCCTCCATGTCCGCAATTTTCTTCATCCTCCTGATGTACAACTAGAAGCGCACGTAACAACAAAGAACAATCTTGTAAGATAATCATTTGGGCCCTGGATTGGGCTGGGTTAGGCTGCAACAAAATTCATGTTCTTTTTAGGGGTATTGTTTGTGTAAGTGGAACGAACCATGGAGGTTAGGGAATGACGATTGTTTTATTTATATATAATATTATATATATACATGATGCCATTTGTATCAATCTGTTAATAAAAAGGCAAAAGCAAACAAATAAGAAATGTAAGAGTTAAAAGTCTATAAGACGGCGTTATTAGGAAAAGACAAAAAAAAGGCGTTATAACGTGTTATGGTGGTAACGGGGAGTAACGTGCAAGCTAATAACGCATGATAACGGGTAGGGGGCGGTGTTCACATGTTATAACACCCAATAACGCCCCTTGTGGCGTTGCCCATACCCACCTCTCTAAAAGTTGAGCATTCGTGGATGTACATTTTCAACACAATATAAGATGGTATTAAAATGCATTTTATATATATTTTATTATATGTTTGGTGAATTTATTGAAGCGTAGTTATACCTCTCATGTAGTGAAAGACTGAAAGTTGTATCTTGCTCAAACATGGTTCCTTTCGTGTTCATCATTGTGTATGTGATGTGACATGAAAATTTGATTACTACATTTTCCAAAATACAAGACAAGTGGAAGGAAAAGAATAGGAATATATATAATTGAGGGAAATAAATCACGAAAAAGGACGATAAGGGAATAGAACTGATGCATCATAATGTGGAATAACATGGGATAAGAGGAAATGAAAAGTATCTTTTGTTATTTTTCTTCAATATAGTAAGTTGGCAAGCCATCAAACAGTACAAGTTCTAAACAAGATAATGCATTAGTATATATGACCACATTTGGGTGTTCTAAATCAGAATCTATAGTCATTTAACAAGTTGGGAATAAAGTTGTAAATGCCTTTCGATAAAAAGGTGACCACTGAATGTGGGGTTATGATATTCGCATGACAAGAGACGTAATGCATCTTTCGACTTATTTGGAATCATGGGCTTAACCCTATAAATATAAGCAAGAGTATAGAAAAACCATCAGCAACACAGATTTGAATTTGACATACATTTCTTTTTTAAAGAAAAAAAATGGTTCTCGAGGTTCAACGTTACCCTAGTGGCTACCAACAGAACAACTATCCAACACACCAAGGGCCTGATGGCTACTTCAGCAACTTCCAAGGGATGACTGCAACCCAGACAACTCCATACCCGACTTATCCTCAAGTTTCAACTTACCCATCAAGCCATGTTTCACAATACCAATCTAGTTGGTCTGCTGGTGATGAATACCAGCATGGCAATGGACCCAGCCATCCAGTCAAGCCCAGTGCTGGTGGATATGGAGGAAATTCACATGGCTATGGAAAGTCACACGGATATGAAAACTCATTCAGCCATGGAAGCCAACAAGCTCATGGAAGCCCACACGGTCATGGCCATGGGAGTCCAAATGGTCTTGGTAAATCACATGGATATGAAAACTCATTCAGCCATGGAAGCCAACAAGGCCATGGAAGCCCAAATGGTCATGGCCTAGGGAGTCCACATGGTCTTGGTAAATCACATGGATATGAAAACTCATTCAGCCATGGAAGCCCACAAGGTCATGGCCTAGGGAGTCCACATGGTCTTGGTAAACCACACGGCTATGGAGATTCACAGAGCCATGGAAATTCACATGGTTTTGGAAATTCAAATGGACATGGAGGTGGTGTTATGAACCATTTTGAAAAGCTGACACATGGGCACGGCTATGGAGCTCCTGGCCCAAACTACGGTCACGCTCCGAGTGGCATGAATCATGGGTACCAGAAGCCGTCTTGGACTATGAAGGGACTTGAAGATGATGAATGAACATCTAAAAACCTACCGTATTACAAAGAAGTGTGTGCTTGATATATAATCCTCTAAATAATGTGTGTGCTTTGATTTCTATTTACTACGTATGTGACAAATGCATAAGCAGTGAATAATGAATGGTGGTTACTGCTTTATCTGATTTCATGATAATCAATGGTAATGTTATTTAGATCTGAAGAGCCAAATATCCACACAATGAAATGATCTAATGAATGATGTCAAACTTCAAATGATTCAAAGAGATAATCAAAATTTTGTCAAAAAAAAACATATGCATGATAATTGGATTATATTATTATTCGATTCAATATTACCCAAGTTTACCCAAGTTTCCGTATTTATGTTTGATATAGTTTTCATACGAGTTTTCATTGTAATTTAGATAACACAAAATTATTCCAAATATTATACACTATTATATGGTTTCGGACCTTTAGGTAAACCCTTATACCATGACCACCACCTTTAGCGACCTTCTCTAGCCATCGTCAGAGGTGCCTCCGGTACGATGGTGCCACCGATGTGTCGTGTGTTGGTGATTTTCTATCACTAATGAACTGACGGGGTCCGGGGGCAACGCCCCTAGGAGCGGGGTCCAAGGGGCGGCAGCCCCTGGCGGGTCCAAGGGGCAGAGCCCCTGGTTGGGGTCGAGCTGCCATATGTTGGTTTATGACAGGTAATATAACCATTTATAGACCCGGTTTTATGTTGGTTTATGACAGGTAATATTTACTACGTATGTCTAAGAAATCCGTAATTTTGGTAAAAACACCTGGTTTTGTGATCCATTTATAGACCCGGTTTTATGTTGGTTTATGACAGGTAATATGATCGTTTTTTGGATAGGAAGTTGTTTTCCTATAACTACCATATGACAGTTTTAAGACAGGAAGTTAGTTTCTGTTATATGATTATTTTCGGATTCATTTTGGGTACAGATTTCATAACATATTCTTCATTCTTCCTTCTAAAAAAACAGTGAGTTTCATCCGATTAGAGTTTTTGAGTGTACCCTCGAAATGTTTTAAACTGAAAGTGTTTCACAACTCTTACTATAATCTAACATAGTGTAAGTAATATATACATATTATAGTGTTGGCAGGAAAATTTGAATAAATAAAAGATTTCATTTGATAATGACAAAAAAAATACTTCATTTGCATAAAATACATATAACTAAGTAATATTACAACATTATACAATAGAGATTATAACTTTTTTTATCGTATTACTTACATATTAAATACAGGGTCGGTCCCGAGGATTTAAATATCTCCAAATACCTATGACGAACAAGAAAAAATAGACCTTATCGTTATTATAAGTTTTTTATTTTTAAATATGTATACATACATATAATAAAAAAAATGGCCCCTATACACAATTGTCTACTTCCCCCCTCCTCCCTTCAATGCCCCATGATTAAATAAATAAGGTTCTTTATCATATATACTGTATACATACAAATATAAAAATACATTATAAATTCATATATAAATGTCTTTATATGTTTTTATATTAAAAACATTTTAAAATATTATTTATATGATTTTATATGTATAAAACGTATAAAATGTTATTTATATGTATTAGAAAAACTTATACAAACAAAAACATTTATTATACATATAAAATGTTATTTATACGTCTAAAAACTTTTTTATACACATAAAAACATATAAAAAAAGTATATAATGTTATATATATATATATATATATATATATATATATAATATGTTTTTGTACGCATAAAAATATATGTATAAATTAATAATAATAATAATAATAAATAAATAAACACCTGTCGTGATATATAATAAGTATAATTTTTCAGTGAGAGTTTCAAGCAAAGCTACTTGGTGTAGTGGTAAAGGTCTTGGTTTTAAAAAGAGGAGGCCAGGCTTCGAAACCTCTTAGCGCCAATTTTCCCTCCATGTTCGTTTTTTCCTCTCAAGGCCAACAACGCTGACGTTGCTTGCACATTGTCACGTCAGGCCAATCAGCTAATGGGTGACCGACCATCCAAGGTAAAATCTGGTTCGACGGTAATAAAATTGAACCAATTTTCCAGTATGTTGGTGCTTTAACACACCAAAAAACCGATTTTGGGCATAACCGACTATTTCATGTCAAATTGAGGGCTTTTATGACAAAAACCTTAATATAAGATAGATATTTTTTTTGACAAAGTTTCACAATTAGCTCATGTGGTTTCTAAAAGATAGCAACTTGAGGATACCGTTCGTCAATATTATATGGATGGTCCTTATAGTTTAAAATCTTATATGGCCAGCCCCGTTAAAATCTAACTTTTGATTTGTTATGTTTTTTTAATGACAAATATATCCTTAGACTAAAATTGAAAAATACAATACACAACCACAATGACCATTTACACAAATGAATAAGTCTTATAAAAACCAAACTTTTTCTAAAAGATTATATGGGTGGTCCTTATGTGGTTTCTAAAAGATAGAAACTTGAGGATACCATTCGTCAATATTATATGGGTGGTCCTTATGGTTTTAAATCTTATATGGTTAGCCCGTTAAAATCTAACTTTTGAATAGTTATGTTTTTTTAATGACAAATATATCCTTAAACTAAAATTGAAAAATACAATACACAACCACAATGACCATTTACACAAATGAACAAGTCTTATAAAAACCAAACTTTTTCTTACTTCTACTAAAAAGACACTACTTGTTTTTGCTATAAATTTCATTGACATTTTTTTACACTCTACCCATTAATGATTTATGATAACAGGTCATCAGGAAACACATATTCACATTTAAAAGAAACTTGTTCAACCTCTGATATAACATTATATGAACCTGTTTTCTCTTAATTTTATTTGTTTTTAAGATGTATAAATCTAATACCCTACTTAACATGTTTAATACTTTGATAACATTTTTAGCAAGTTTGTTTATGTGGGTTTTAACATGTGCTTCTCTATACTCCCGGTCTCCAACAAAGACTCTTCGTTCAACACATCAAAAATACTCATAAGAAGTGAAACCTTATGTAACACCCTTAAAAATACAACCCGAAAATTTTATTTTTAAGTTTAACAATCATCAAGCAAACCATTTCATTTTTCTCAAAACCATGAAAACATAAGATAGCTTAGTTGTGCAATCCACGATACATAATAAATCATTAACAGAGTCATAATCCCAAAATCATTAATGCGGAAAATTATGGTGTGATGCGATGCGATCAAGCCGGCCCTTTCCCCTTCGAGTTGTAAGTACCTGAAATCAAAACTGAAAACCGTAAGTGTAACATCCCAAATTTCGAGTCCAAAAATTTCATTTTAATTAACTGATTATAAAAGCATTCGTAAGAAAACCACATAAAATATATCATGTCTGAAAACCCAAGTCATAAAATAGCATCATGTCAGAGTACAACCCCAGA